GTGGGAAAAAGAAATCCATTATTTTTCCATTCAATTTCATGTAAAAATAATGGATTTCTTTTTACTACACCTAATATATATATATATATATGTGTGTGTGTGTGTGTGTGTGTGTGTGTGTGTGTGTGTAAAACTTTTCTAACTTAAAATGTACTTTACGATGGAATTATAGTTCGAGATACCATACTCTCTACGTATATTAATATAATAAATTCGATGCACAGAGCGTCATAACGTGATTAACACATACTTTATATCGGTTTAAGTGACATGTATATAGCTTCACTAATGTTATAATTGTCAACATATGTGCTGCCATAGTTTGAAATATACATTGCATGTCTCCGTTACATAGGACGAATTTAGCCAACTGGAAATACACGTTTATTTATCCACACTTGATCATGCTCCTATAATCAATTTTATCAAAAAAATTGTAGTTATCAATTACTTGTGGAATAACTATAGAAAATGTGCTTAAAGTCACGAAGCTCAAACAGATTAATTTCGTTTTTGGATTCTGATACGGCCATTGACCAACCAATGATGATACTTTTTTAACAACCCCGTAATAATTGGAATCCATAGTTTAAAGACAGCTTCGTCTAGTCGACTAACTTGAAAACTTTATTTCATTCAAGTCTTTGTCGCCCTTGGTATATTAATTTAAAATATACGTGTGTGTGTGTGTGTGTATGTTTTGTGTGTATTAAACATGTCATACATCCATAATAGTGATGATATATAATGTTATATGCTTCCTCTATAACAGCTGCAGTTTTCGTGTAACTAATCATGGTGTGTCTCTACGCAGCAATGTATGACACGTAATTCTTACGTAGGGCATGAAAGGCATTTATTCCTTTGACATTAAATATAATGTAAAGAAAAGCGAAACTTTATACCGTTTTGCAAGTTCCCTAGACATAATAAACATATTGATCAGTAGAAAGTTTCATTTTTTTGCTTAGTTTTTTTTCTCTGAAAGTTGAACCTTCTCGTTTAGAGACTCGTGGAAAGTTAAATTCATGTGCAATATACATAATAATACTTGGATATTCGAGCAAATCGACTTAATACGAATTGAAAATATTTCGTACATATGTGATTAATTACAACTATTGAGAGGAGAATTTCACAAAGATGATATGTGCTTTCGATAATGATATGCTACAGCGCAATTAATCGCCGGCTAATAATATAAGCTATTGAAAGGATGCAAGTACCGTACAGTATGACATTGAAGTTTGTAGAACCTTTAAAATAAAAGTGTAACTTGTCGTTAAAGGAACTCCAAAGCATTATTTGCTTGTAATAATCAGGTCTTACCATAGTGAAGCTCTCTAAAGAGAAAATATAAATTTTGCCAGCGCTTAAGAAACTCAATCGAAGAGTCTTTATCATTATCAATATAATTAATTTTTGTGACTTTATGGATACTTTATACCAACAATTATTGTATCTATAAATTTGTATTTCGCATAAAATATAAGAATGGAAAACAAAAATATGTGAGATGAGTGATAAACATCTTTTTTTTTAGAAAGAAAAATCTTACATTTTGTCGCGTATTTGAAGACTATGATCTATCAATTTTTGCCCTTCAAAACTCAGAAAAAATAAATGTATCAGTTCACCAATAATGTATAATGCGTATCTCATTGATTCTAAAATATTACTGTTGTTCTGCTGCATCATCTTCAGGATAAAAAATGTAAGTATATTTTAATTTTTTGCATAGTGCATACATATACCATTTTATACAAATGAATACATACTTGTAGCAAGGTAATGCTCATTCCTATTGTTACTATTAATATTTGCATAGCGAAAGATACGTTAAACGTATCTTCAAGAAGTTGCGCGTACCTGTGACAAACGAGAGATATAAGATTTTAATGATGATTCGAATTTGTGTCCGGATATTTGTTTATCTTTAAATGGAAATCCACATTACACCGTTACCGTATTATAATGGTATTTTATTCGATTTTATACATTTACTTTAAAGTTTTTCGATGTACATGTACAATGAACGCGATTCTTTTGCAGTATGCATCATCCGTATTTATAGTCTTCACTTGGTCATTGCGATTATAAAATAAATGTTCAAGACGAAATCTACAAGCAATTTGTAAGGTATTATCCATTTCATGTGGAATCGAAATAAAATTATAAAAATATTCATTTCGTTTACAATGCATATTAAATTATTCACTTACCCGACTACAGCAAACATACTGCAAACATGTTCAACATAAGTTACAAATATACAATCGTGGGCGACTATTCCAATCATAGCAATTTCCCAGGCTACGATAGCATGAAAGAAGATGTAAAAAAAGTATTCTCTTTCATCGACAAAGTAATATCCTGGATACGTCAATAGAATAGAGCGGGATTTGTTGAGAGGTAATACAACATCCAACAGTTGCGGTATAAGAGACATTGATAGGAACAGATAAAGAGCTACAAAGCAATACACTACGCAAAAAAAATGAAATAATTATCTAATAATTATTAAATTATTAATTTTTAAAACAAAAAGAGCAGAGATAAGAAGATGCGGATAGAGATTGCACAATTTATTCTTACATGAGTATCCTAGAGAGTATCGTCTACCATTTTTGGCATATTTCCTCATAATGTTGTATTCTTCTGAAGTTTCCAATGCATTCCAGTTGACGTATAAACGATCAGTGAGATCTTTCATCTAACAATAAGACTTGATTAGCAATGGGCATCTTTGTAAATTAATATACTATTATAAAATGGAATGCTAAAGCTGAAGAGCTATTATATACTTGAAAATATAATTCAAACATTATAAAACGATAGTATTAGGCTGTGTTCCCAGTTAACTAAATATTTATAGAAAATTCGATTCATATTCTCAATGTGCCGAATAGGTATTCCGATTCAGTAAAAGAATCATGACAGAATACAAATGCCGATGAAACATTCAGAATATTGTATATCACGAAAATCGCGAGCGAGCGAGCAATATATATATCCGCCGATAGATGCGGCGGAAAGCATTTACTCGTTAACAAGAATTATCTAGGAGATAATATATGGAGCGCAGCATTTCGCCTAAAGTAAGTCTCAAATTGAGTTCTAAGGTCATTGAGGGGGGTCATTGGGTTCTAAGGTCAAGTGTATTTTTCAAGGAAAAATTTTAAAAATTGATTCAAGGATTATCAGAATTTCTGGAAAAATTAAAATTTCGGGGAACATATGGTATATGGAATATTCTCGGAATATGTAATGATATATAAATGGAATTTTTAATCGATATTTGAATGTTGCTTTTACATTCCGTAAATATTCCGGAATTCTTTTAGAATATTTTTTTGGAACTTTAGGAATCTTTTAGAATGTTTTTTTTTAGGATTTTAGAAATTATGAATATTTATGAATATTTTATGAATATTTCAAGAATATTTAGCGTTAGCTGGGTCATACGAGTATTGAAAACTTATGGTTTGCGTTATGTATATATATATATATATA